CCCCGCCCCGCCCCGCCCGCGCCTCCGCCGCGCCGGCCGCTGTCAGCTCCCTCAGAGTCCGGCTGAGCTGCGGTGTATGCTTAGCCGCTGCGGGCGCCGGCTGCAACACGTCCTAGGCCTTGGCTTCCCTCTGCTGAGCCGCCGGCCGCTTCTCCTCTGCCCTTCCCTTCTCATGAAGCCGCTGGTAGTGTTTGTCCTTGGCGGCCCCGGCGCCGGCAAGGGGACCCAGTGCGCCCGGATCGTCGAGGTGAGGCCCAGGCAATTGGCAGGTTCCCTGGGGCTTGACCGGGTGCGGGCTGGCCTGTCCCGGGGCGCCTGGCCGTCCGAGCCCCCGGCGGCGCGCAGCTGCGGACTACGAGTGCCGGCGGCCACCGCGTCGCCCGCGTGGCAGTGCTGAGGGCTCGTCCGCGTGGGGCATGCCGGGACTTGTAGTCCGCGTCCGCCGCCGCGGGGGGGACCGCCTGGGGTCGCTTTGTTCCTGCGCCTTTTTCTTATGCGTTGGGGACCAGATTCGTACCAGCAGTGTGCTGGGACAGAGATCTCGGGAGGGCCTACTTCCGGGGGTCCCAGCGCGCAGAGGTCAGTGTGTAGCTGATTGCTTGGTGGGTGAAGGTGGCAGGAGCGCGGATTTGGGTTAAGAGGCTATGTGCTTGTCCCACGGTTGCTGAAGGCGAGAGGGGTTTCTCCTCTCCGCGCCCTTCCCCTGGTCCTCTAAACTACGTGCTGTCAGGTAACCGGTCTTTACCCTACAAAGGAGCCCCGAGGGGCGGGTGTTATTTTAAGCGTCGGGTGAGTTGCAGGTAGTTCTCCCTGGTTGGGTTCGCCACGGGCTTTAGGGCAGGGCCAGCCTGTGCCAAGGTGTACAGAGATCGAGCTTCAGCCTTTGGCCCTGCTGCCACCTGGCGCGTTGTCCTCGGGCAAGTCACTTTTCTTCTCCCTGACCCTCAATTGTCCCTTCTCATACAGTTAGAAGTCTCGGTGCCCAGATTTACTTAGAATATATAAACACCTTCTCACTCTAAAAATCTTGTTAACTGTTTTTTCTTTTGTTTTAAAATGTGATAAGGTTACCTTACGTGAGTAGCTTTAGTGATACAGTGAAGACTGTCCCTTTTGACGGACAGTCTAGGGGAATGCTTGGGGGAGAAGGAAACAAGATAGCCAGAAAAGGAGGCTACCGGTTGTGGCATAAAACACCCACAGAATCGCTGTGAAGCTACGTTACCAACAAAAGTTTTTCACAAGGAACTTAAAATTTCCTCCTCTTCCAGAACACACACACACACACACACACACACACATATACACAGAGGGTGTCAAAAAATGTATATACACTTTGAGAAAAGAAAAAATTGTATTAAAATTGTAATAGCCAAGTCATATTTGACTTATACGATTATAGGAAATGCGCACACCTCTAATGATAGTACTCTGGAAGGTTGAGGTGGGAAGAGGGCAGGACTTGGAGACCAGCTAGCAAGACTGAGAGTCTGTCTTTACTAAAAATAGAAAAATTAGCCGGGGGTGATGGCGTATGCCTATAGTTCCAACTATTTGGAGGCTAAGGCAGAAGGATCACTTGAGCCCAGTAATTTGAGATTACAAGTGAGATATGATTGCACCACTGCACTCTAGCTAGGCAACAGAGACTCGGTCTCAAAAAAACAAGCAAAAGAAGACAGGTGGTCAGGCGCGGTGGCTCCAGTGGCTCAGGCCTGTAATCCTAGTACTTTTGGAGGCCTAAGCAGGTGGATTACCTGAGCTCACAGGTTTGAGACCAGCCTAACCAAGAGCAAGACCCTAGTCTCTAAAAGTAGCCAGAGGTGGCGGTGGGCGCCTATAGTCCCAGCTACTTGGAAGGCTGAGGCAAGAGAATCATTTGAGTAGAAGAGTTTGAGGTTGCTGTGAGCTATGATGCCAGGGCATTCTACCAAGTGTGAAAAAGTAAGACTCTGTCTTAAAAAAAAAAAAAAAAAAAAGAGGAAGAAGAAGACAAGTGGGTGATTTCAGATTTTTCTTTTGTATGTGAAATGACTCCTAGGTAAATAGCACAATAGGGTAAGGAGCAGTGTCAAACACATGTGAGTTCAAATTTTGACTCTGCCATTTACTGTTTCTCTAGGCTCAGAGAAGCTGTTACTTTCAGCTTGAGCTCCTTTATAAAAAGGGAGAAAATAGAAATACCTATGTTGTATGGTATTTGTGAATATTAAGTGAGGTAAAAATATCTGACACACAGAGACAAATGCAAATCAGTTTTTGCCCTACTTTAAATTTCTGATCTTATAGTTGTTATTTTTGTTGTGAAGAAGCATTACTTTTTAAAAATTGTTATATGGTTATTAATATTATAATACACTCAAATATAGTATTTTGTTTCTGAATCATAGCATGCCTTTAACTGTCCACAGCAAAAGCAATAATACTCATGTTATTCTACCGGATTAAAAATAATCTACACATTCTGTAGCTCCTGGTTATTCTTAACTTTGTTCAGTACTGACTGATAATATTTTAAGCCTGTTAATTATCACTTATGAGATTCCATGATGAGATATGTTTAGTAATATATTATTCTTTAAGATTTCTGCAATTCTATGACCTTAAGCTGTTTTCACCTGCTCTCTTCTTTCAGGAAAATGTTTGCTTTTGATTCTAGTTGCCATAAATGTTATTAAGCTGACAATCAGCTAATACCAAATAGTTTATAATTTAGTAATTGCTATCCCTAGCTGGCTAAACACTGGAATATCTATGGTAAGTTAGGACAGAGGTAGGCTGGTTTTTTTTTTTTTTTAACTTAGTATTTTATTACCTGAGGCAATCATAAGCTGAATCCCAAAAGATTGTAATTTTTGGAAATAATTTTTTTTGGTAGGGAAAAAGTTATGTAAATGAATGTTAAATTCCTCAATTATCAAGCCATAGCTAATTGAACTCATTTAAGGTTCTAATCTGTACCTGAAATATGGCTGAAATAGAATTATTTCTTTATTACATTAACTTCTAATTCAGGCTGTGAAAAGTACATCTTTGGGTCCTGGCTGTAGAATCTTAGGATGCCTTGCCCTCTAAGGCCTTTTTTTAGTTTTGTTTGTTGGATTTTTCTGTTTCTAATTCTGTGTGCTCTCATGCTAAATTTGCTTTTGAAAATTAGCAATTTTCAAAATCATACTTTCTTAGAGTTAAGTGCTTGGTGTGGAGTTATTGGTGCAAAATCACTCATTTCTAAAACATTATAAT